AAAAAAAAAAAAAAAAAGTAACTTCTCACTCTCTAGCTTACTATTTTAGTAAACTATCAAACGATAATATTTTCTTAAAGATCCCCTAGAAACATAAGATTGTGGATACTTTTCCTTTTATTTACATGATTATTCCATGAGGGTAACACTATTAAACTTTGATTAAAAATCTCCCATTTGTTAGATGTGCTGCCTCATGCCTATAATCCCAGCACTCAGGTGGATAAAGTGTGAGTTTGTGGCCAGCCTGGGATAGAGTGAGTTCAAGAGCAGCCTGAACTACATAGCAAGATCCTGTCTCCAAAAACAAAATAGGTGCAGTCACAGAAGACAAGGACTCAGCTGCCTTCCCTTTGAGTCCCCTTTTCACACCTCCTCTGTAGCAGCAGCCTTCTGTAGGCCCATTTCCATGAGGAAAAGGAATCGTATAGTATGTCTGCTACCCAGAACCTCCACTTTTTTGTCCCCTTCATTGGAGCAAGCAAGGGTGATGACCTGCTTCCTTCCAGCACTGAGGATTATATCCATATGAGAAAAGGCAGCAAGACCCTTACCACAGTCCAAGAGATTGCTGATGGTTATAAAAAGAAACTGGTGATGGTATTTAAGAAGAAATTTGCCTGCAACAGTATTATCATCATGGGACCAGGGAGATAGCTCAGTAGAATGAGTGCTTGCCTGGCAAGCGCAAGGGCCTGAGTTCAATCCCCAGTTCCAAGAAAAAAAAAAAAAAAAAAAAAAACAGTATTGTCATCAGGTGTCCAGAATATGGAGAAGTAATCCAGTTCCAGGGTGACCAGCACAAGAACATATTCCAGTTCCTGGTAGAGATTGGACTAGCTAGCGCTAATCAGCTGAAGATTCATGGGTTTTAAGAGCTTGTGGTTCACTGAAGTGTAAGTTAGGATTTCCTTACAAGGAGTAGAATACCCTTGGGTCACTTGTCACAAGTTTAAAAATCTCACAGCTTGTACAGTGTAACCATTTGGGGGTCCACTTTTACTTGGACTAGTGTCACTCTTTCATGCTATAAAGTAAAAAGAACGATGATTTAAAAAAAAAAAAGCAAAACAACCTCCTCCATTTGAGTGTAAAGTAATTTCAGAGAGTAATGGGAATATTCTACCTATAGCCCAATTCAATGGTTGAAAATGGATACATATATTTGTCAAAAGTTATTCAATAAACACTTAATTTTTTTTTTTTTTTTTTTTTTTTTTTGAGACAGAATCTTGCTATGTAGCTTAGGCTAGCTTTGAACTCACTATGTAGCCTAGGCTGACCTTGAACTTGCAGCAATTCTTCTGCCTCAACCTCCCAAGCCAGGATTACAGATGTCCACCACCACATCTGGCCTTTATATTATATATAAATTACAACTCAATGTTATTTTTCTCTTAAACTCATTACTTCTCCCACCACACTACCTCAGTTAATTTTCATTCATTCATGCATTCAATAAAAATTTGAAGCAGTCAGGTATGATGGGACACACATGTAATGCCAGCAATCAGGAGGCTAAGGCTTAAGGATAATAAATTTAAGCCCGGCCTGAGATATACTGCAAAATTCTGTCAAAAAAAAAAGGTTGAAGCAATGTGTCAGTGTAGATAACAAGCATGAACAAGAAAACAATTCATGCTTTCAAACTTTACTGTTTAGAAGATGACAGTGCATGTTGTGTATAGCCTGACTCCTGCTACATACAAGGATGAAACACGTGCTATAAGAAGAAGACCGAAGATGTTCACGTGTCGTGGATCAATCACTGGAAAAACCTGATGTGTTTCCATGACCTGAAACTCTTGAAATTCCCCCTTTGACCATAATATTCAGTGCTTCCACTCAAGTCAAAAACAGGACATTTAAATCTCAAAATTCCACAGAATTCTGTTTTAGCTTTTCTACTTTAATTCTGAAATTACCAATCACAATAATGTGTCCCTTCCTTCTTCTATCCATAAATTCTGTTACCCAATGAACTATCAATCTTACTAAAGTAAATCCCTGATAATTATTGTTAGTTATTCAGTCACTTCAGAGCAAGAGTTGAAAGTGTAGTTTCATGGTAAATCACATGTTTAGCAGGTGCAAGGCCTTGGGTACAAAAAAAAAAGTAACGGCTGTATCAAGCACTTAATTAGGTATATCAGTGAACAACTCAGATAGGATCCCTGTCATCATAAAACCTATATTCTGCTGTGAGATGGATATTTCAAAAAGAAAATGATACAGACTTACAGGAAGATGGGGGAGGGGTAAGCAGCAACAAATCAACCTCTCTTGAGATTCAGAATCTAGACACTGGAAAATAACAAATTGGGGGAGAAAAGAAAGAGAGAGGTGGATCCCCAGACCCTGAAAGAATCTGAAAGAAAATTAGAGCTCACAAAGAACATGAAAAAATGGATATCAAAGCAGAAAAAGGAAGGGGCAATCTGCACTTTCTCCCTGGTTCCTGGCTTACAGCATGACAAAGGAAAATTGAATCTGCAGAGACACAGTGAGAGCGGGTGATTCCAGAGGCCTCCAGAGAGAAATGCACCAGTGAACAGAGCAGTGTTTGCTGTAAACTGCAACAGCTGGTGAGCGACTCCAGTCTAAGTTACTGTTGTGTCCCCTGAAGACTGAGATTGGCTGGATGACATTTTAGGAAAGGGCCAACAGGACCCAACGTTCTGAGAAGCCATGGGTTAGCTTCATGTCAGGGCTCCCAGTTTTTACCCACTGTGGGTTAAAAACCCACAGTGACTGGATGAGGGACAACCGTGGGACATGTCCAGGGTCAGGGAGCCATGGTCAGGCTAGGAAGAGATACTTGAAGTGTTAGAAACTAAATGATTCTGGTCCCAAACCTACAACCAGAGACCAGGATCAGTCCCCTGTGGATTCAAAAGGACCAGAAGCAGCACCCAGCCCTAATCTTACTGCAGCGTTTGTGCGCTTATCCAGGACGGACCTGGGCTCTAACTGCCTCCTCTGTCTATCAGAGAGAACAGAGTCACACCCTGAACTGGACACCACCACAAAACTATAGACCCCAGAAAATAATCACAGGTTTGAAATCACAGAGAAACTGTCTTTTCCCCACTGACAATGATTGATTTTTTTTTGCTTTTTTGGTTTATCTTTTGTCTTTTTATTATTTTTGTTTTTTCATGAGTGTGAATGTTTATTTTAGGTTTTTTTTTTTTCTTTTTTTTTCCATTTATCTTTTCCTCCTGTCTTCTTCACCAGTTTCCCAAGGCTTGGAAAATTGTTCTTCAGCCTTGCTTTTGATCTCTTTTTCTTTTCTCTATTTTTTTTTCCTACTTTCCCTTTAAAATTTTCTCCATTTGGGGAAAATTACCCTACTGAGAGGATATTTATTGCATTTAATTTTCTGATTTATCTTAGATTTTTATATATAACTATAAATCTTATACCTATGGTTAAAGGTGGCAAATTAAAAGTTATAATACTTTGTCATTATCTTATCTGAACTTGATACTATTATTGTTAATGACTGTACTACTTTAGCCAAAGTGACACAGTAGTTGTGTCCTTGTACACCAATACATAGACTGTATACGGGTCATAAAAGCAATACAACTGTGTATAGTCCAGTACCAAAGAACTGGATGTTAGGTCAACAGGTAGCAATTTTCATCCCTAATAAATTGAAGAGGAAGGATCCTGTGAATGATTTAAAAGCAAAAGGCCAGCTATGCCTAGAAGACATCTCTGAAAAGTAGTCATTTCTTAATGAGGTCTTGATACTACTAATAAAGTTATCTATCATATGCCTCAATACAGGAAACAAAAATAGAAAATGAGAAAACAATGAAGATTCAACCTATAATATGCAAATCATCCAAGACAAATCAAGGGGACATTGAGGTGGAAGAAATCAAAGCCTACCCATCTGAATTTTATGAAATGTTAGCAGCACAAGTAACAAAACAGATAAATAAATCTCTTGACAAAACTAAAACAGAAGGCCAGGCACAGTGGCACATGCCCATGATCCTAGCACTCAGGAGGCGAAGGCAAGAGGATCACTGTGAGTTGAGGCCAGCCTATGCAATACAGTGAGTTCAAGGCCAGCCTGACCTGTATAGTGAGACCCTGTCTTAAAAACAAACAAACAGACAGACAGACAAAAAATAGAACAGAGATCATTAAAGAGATGACAACCACAATGAAGGAAATTGTTAGTGAATCTTTGGTAAATACAGATTTAAAAAAAAAAAAAAGAGGAGCTAGGGAAAGACTTGGAACCCACGAATGCCCAGCATAAAAGAAAACTAGATTTCAAATAGACACACAGGAGAGTATAATTTGTACTGACAGTATATTCAGGAAAGTCAACCAATGTCAATAGGATGTCAGAGTCAAGTGTGGTGGCACACACCTGTAACCTCAGAACTTGGAGGCTGAGACAGGAGGATCACTGTGAGTTTGAGGACAGCCTGGGCTACAAAATGAGTTCAAGGCCAGCCTGAACTACATGGGGCAATCCTGTCTCATTAAAAAAGCAAAACATGAGACCATAAAAAAATCAATCCAAAGGCTGCTAGATGATGCAAAGAAGAGTTAATATGAGATTAACTGGAATCAATGAGAATCAGAGGATAGCACAAAGGGCATAAAAACCCTGTTTACATGAGTAATAGTGTAGCCTCTTGGGAGGCTGTGAACAGGTAGATCACTACAAGTCCAATCTAGCAGTGAGACCCTGAACACCCTGTAGACCCTTCCTTAAAAGAATACCAAAAAGTAATAGTGTAAAACTTTCCAAGAATGAA